CATGTCAGCTTTTGTCGTACACTAGACGTCCCCTTATGTCGTACGCTAGATGTGCACTTGATGACCTTACGTCACACTAAATGGTACGGATGACCTTATGTCGTACACTAGCAGATGACCTAGTGTCGTACACTACCGGTAGATGTCACCTCGTGCCGTACAGTAGATGCGTAAGTTGATCGTACAGTGGAGAACAGCCTCCTTGCCGAACAGGCCACGTGTTGCTACGCCCTCCTTGCCGGTCGCTCTCATGCCTCCCCCTCCTTTCACCGACCGTTCTCGTGCCCCCCCCTCCTTACCGGTCGCTCTCGTGTCTCCTCCTCCCCCCCCCCCCCCCCCCCCCCCCCCCTCTGTCGCACTTTTCTTCGACTTTCTCTTCTTGTCCCTTCTCTTGCACGAATGATATCCTTGCCGCTTCCTCCTCCTCCTCCTCCTCCTCGCGTGCACCTTTCACTCGTGCTGCTGCTACGGTCGCCATCCTCTTTGTCTGCATTCTCTCCCTCTTGTGTCTTCTCCCTCGTCTCTTCTGCTCCTCTCTTCTCCCTCCTCCCTCCTCCCTCCCCCACCAAACCCCCACCTCCTTTTCTCTCCTCCCCATTCCTATCCTAGCTTTTCCAAGAGCTACCAACGACAACGGCAACAGAGACAGAAACAACTGTGTGTGTGATGCCTTGTGAGAATTCCTGCACAATAGCCTATAGGTAGACACAGCATAGGTTTTTATGTTAAAAAAAAAAACAAAAAACAAAGGTACACAGCATAGACATTGTATCGCATAGGGTTGCACGTATATGCTATGCTGCACAATAGCATTTGCATGACATAAGGGGCATCCATCTAGTGTACTAGTGTACGGCATAAGGTCATGTAGTGTACGGCATAAGGTCATCAAGTGTACGAAAGAAGGTGACATCTGGTGTCCGCTTTCACTTTTTTTTTGGGGGGGGGAGGGAGAGTGGAGGGGGAAGGGGGGAGATTACCAGATCAACGGCCAGAATTAGAAGTGGCATCTGACGCACATGATGGACGGCTATGCGGGGAGAGAGACACAGAGAGAGAGAGAGAGAGAGAGAGAGAGAGAGAGAGAGAGAGAGAGAGAGAGAGAGAGNCCCCTCTTCTTTCAGAGCGCTTCTTTCACTGGTCCTCTCCTCGCGTGCCTTATTTCATCACAAGCAGCTGCTTGGCCTTGGAGTGCCCCCTCTTTCCGAGCGCCTTTTCCAACGCTCCTTGGTACTCGGCAAACGGGACCTTTTCGATCTGCAGCTTCAGCTTTTCGTCCTTTGCGAGTTGAAGCAGATGATTGATCATTTCGAGTCGCTCCTCTTTCGAGTGCAGCTCCACCCACCTCGACACCCAAAACCCTCGCACGATGACATCCTTGAAGATGAGTTGCGAGGCAGAAACTGTGACCGGCTTCTTGGCCATTCCACCGTACGTGACAATTGTACCTCCTGGGGCCAGTACTTTCAGGATGGAAGAGGCAGAGGACCCTCCGACGCAGTTTAGCCCTAGAACCGGAGGCGGCAGATCGCCCATCACATGTTTCATGATCGATCTATCCTCCGCTTGCTCCTCCGTCACGACAACCGTCGCTCCCAAGTCCTGTAGATTCCTAACTGTTTCGGCAAGATCCGGTCGGTCTCGGATGATGTTGATTGTTCTCACCCCTTTCACGTTCGCTAATTGGATCACCGCCTGCCCGACCATACTCGTCGCGCCGTTCTGCACGACAACGTCACCTTCGACCAGGTTCACAAAGTCCTCTAGCATCCGATACGCAGTTGTGGGGTTCACGACCACCGTCGCCGCGTATTCTAGGGGCGAATCGGGTAAGACTTGGATAAGATCGTCTTCTTCGCAAACGAGTTGTTCGCGCCATGTGCCCAACCCGTACCGCGCCGCGACCACCAAGTCGTCGACCTTAAGGTTTTTCACGCCTGCGCCGACGTCCGTGACGACGCCCACACCCTCATTCCCTCCCACAGCAGGCAGCGGAGGGCGGTTCGGGTAGGTCCCCTCTATCTGGTTGATATCCGATGGATTGATCGGTGCAGCCAAAACCTTCACCAAGACTTGGCCATGGCCGACTTCTGGCAATGGATGGGCTTCTGCCATTCGCAGAACAGATTCGGGAGGTCCATTCTCCGAATACACAAGTGCTCGCACCTTCGACAAAGATGATGCCAAGGATGGTTGCCAGGATTGAGTTCGTTCTCCTCTCCTTCCTTCTACTCCTCCTCCTCCACCACCACCACCACCTCCTCCTTGTGCTCCAAGCGATGTGGAAGACGAAAATGGCTGTACCACAGAGAGCTGAGCTGGCATTGCAGCTGATGCAGTCGAGGAGGCCAAGAAGGACGAGGAGGCAACGGCGGCAGCGAAGGCAGAGGAGGAGCAGGAGGCGACCTGCCGGATTCCCCGTGTGATCGAGGCCTGAGTCGACTTCGCAGGAGCCGGCATTGTGGACATCAACCCGGTCGAGGACATGCCAGCCACCCCGAACCGAGCTCCAACCCTCCCACCAAGGGCGCCAACGGCTTGGAAAAGCACCCTCATCAGGCTAAACGCGATTGGATCGTGCAAAGGCAAGACCAGGAGTCAAAAGCCCAACAAAAAGCAACAAGATACGTTCAACGGCTGTCAAGTTCTTTAGTTCCTCCTCCTCCTCCTCTCCACTTGATCCCGAACCACGCCTATACCGGAATAGCCTCGACAACAAAAGCAGCACCTATTCCGGAATAGCCTCAACAACAAAAGCAACACCTATTCCAGAACAAGCCTCAACAAAAGCGGCCCGCCACTTTCTTGCCAGTGTCTTCTTATGCAAAATGCTGCCCCTTTTTCTTTTTAATTATTATAAACCACCAGTACTTGGCCCAGCTATCGGCCTTGGAAACAAATAGAGTAGAAACATTTCTAGTCGGATGAATTTGGACGCTCCTGTAGTGGGTCGTACGTTTCCTAAAACCGTGGCTTGTTAACGGGCACAACTTTGGGAAGCACTGGTTGTTTAACACTCACTACCCGTATTCCACCTCCACAGGTCGTGGCAATTGCTCGTTCGCCCCTCCTACTGTACCCCAATCATCGGTCGACTGAAGAAGAACAATACGACGATGATTCCGACCCTCGATCTCACGTACCTGAAATCACCCACACCTTATTCTGCACCATATCCCACGCCTGCAGCGTCTTTTTCATGTCCCAGGTACCAAGCCTAATTCAGCAGCGGTGCCAAGGCCAAATTTTGGCACGGTCCCAAGCCTAATCCTCCTGTTGCGGTCCCAAGCTTCTTGGTTCCACGCCTGACGTCACCACTGTTCCGACCCTGAACCCGACCATCGTTCCGAGCCAAGTACCTCTAATTTCAATTTCGAACAATTCGCTTTCAAAATGACTAAAGTACCCGACAGCAGCAGAAACTGGCTGGGCAAGTCCCAGACCAGGTGGTCCCGCTGCAGTTCCGCCGCCGCAGCTCCGAGTGCGGCTGCACAACTGTGCCCACTGCCACCGCTGTCCCAAGCCTGGTTCCACCGCAGTGCCGAGAGCCTAATTATTACCCAGCAGAAAACGTTTTTTCTCTTCTCTGCCCACACCCGTCGATCTGCCACATCCAACGGCCCCTTTTTTTGTCCAGAAGAAGCCCATTTTCTTGTTTCTCCCCTACTCACAGACTGAGCTAGACCTGGCAGCAATGCCAACAGCTTATCCTGAAGCTATCATCAGCCCAAGCCCAAACCACATGAGGCACGCCCACCGTCGTAACCCGAATACAACGTACAGTCATTGTAGCTATGTACTTGGGACAATTTTCAGTCTACATACTGCAATAACGCCCCTGCATCGTGTATTCGGGCAAAGATGGTGCTTGGTCCCACATCTCTTCACCACCCAAACCACATAAGCCGAACCTAGTCCCAAATCTCTTCACCACCCAAACTACATGAGCCGAACCTAGTCCCAAATCTCTTCACCACCCAAACCACATGAGCCGAACCTAGTCCCAAATCTCTTCACCACCCAAACCACATGAGCCGAACCTAGTCGCAAATCTCTTCACCACCCAAACACACATGAGCCGAGCCTAGTCCCAAATCTCTCCCGAGAGCGCCAAACCACATGGGTCAGGCGTAATCCCAAGCCTCATTCAGGGGCTAATCCTCAACCCCCTCACCCATCCTATTCCACAAGCATGCACAGCCTGATTACAACCACCTCCATATCTAAATTATACTGACAATCGATGCTTCCCTGCAACAGCTCCTCTCAATCTTGCCACTGGCTTCGTCTTCCGAGCGTCATCCGAGCCTCACTCATGCCTCTCCTTCAAGCCAACACGTGCGGTTTTGCGGCTTTGCGGCTTCCCTCCACCCTGCCTCCCACCTATAGACCAGTACTCCAAGATGGGACTCCGGTTTGGGACTGCAGATGGGACTCTGGTTTGGGACGGCAGATTGGACTCTGGTTTGGGACGGCAGATGGGACTCTGGTTTGGGACTTCAGATTCGATTGATTGGTGGAATACACTCTGTCAATGAGGATATCAGTTGAAGCCACCCTACCTCAGGTCAAGTCCCTGCAGACAAAGGGGAGGAGGGAGGGGAGAGAGGGGAGAGCGGGGAGAGAGGGGACAGAAGAGAAACAGGAAAGACAGAAAACTGCAAGCCGTTAGGATCATCACTGCAAGGGCACAACTGCAAAGGAATGTGCCTCCTGGTAAACAGGGAGGGTAGTCATAAAAGGTAGCGGGTTGTGATTTACGTAATTAACCCCTGCCAGTGGGCCACCCCCACCCTGCTCAACAAACCAATGATCTCACAGAGCCCCAGGAGAATCCATTTCTATAAAAGACCCCCCTTGTTAACTGATGGGTCCATATATTTTTCAAGAGTTCATGGGTGGGTGTTCCAACTGAGCTACCATTAGGGTCGTTCGTTCTCTGTACATTTTGCAATAGCATCATTCTACTAATCGTAAACGAAAAATGTACAGTGAAACAACGAGCCTAGCTTCACCATACACTAGCGCTATAGTAAATTCTATGGCCTGTACATTTTGATACACAATACAGTAACTATAGTCACTATAGATTTTGTTTACTATAGTACTATAGCACTATAGTACTATACTATAGATTTTATTTACTATAGTACTATAGCACTATAGCACTATCGTACTATACTATAGATTTTGTTTACTATAGTACTATAGCACTATAGCACAACACAATACTAGTACTATACTGTGAGCAAAATCTATGGACTGTATGTAGATTTGGCTCAGGGTACACGGTCCAAAGGACTGGTGGTTTACGTGGGCTGATTCTGAGCTTCACCATACTGTGGAAGACAACCCATTTGCTTGGGGGGGGTTGGG